AGCAGCAATGTTTATAAAATAGTTTTGTATTTCTAAAGCACTGCTTAGCATTGTAAAAAATTTAAGCAAAGTTCTAAAATACAATTTGTCCACACTTCTACGATCCCCATTCCCTGTAATTTTGGCAAACACCACGGTTTACAGAAAGAAAGTCCACGAGAGTGAGTTGCTGCCGGTCATATGAAGAAAGGCAGCGCCTTTTCTACATCGAACAGAATGCCCAGACTACCATAATGAAGTTCAAGATCCTCAAACTTGCCCCAAAACTAATCTCTAGTCTCCTGAATCTTATTTTCTAGAGGAGGAATTAGGGAGTACAAATACAGGCGGGTACGGTTGAGATTGTTTATCTGAGTAAACTAATAAAAAAAAATTCAGTGAAAAATTTTCTAGTATTTTTTGTGTCCACAGTTGATCTAAACATGATGTGTACTGTGATACTTCTGAAATCCTGGCACTCTCGAAGGATGTAGCAGAAGGATTTCATGTTTAAGTCCAACCTGGGCAATTTAGGGACTTATGAAGACTCTGTCTCAAAATTTAATAAAGAAATAAAAATAAAGGGCTAGAAATGTAGCTCAGTGCAAGGGCCCTGGGTTCAGTCACCAGTACTGCAAAGCAAGATAAAAACAAAAACACCACCACAATGTGACATAACAATCGAAAGACAGTAAGTGTAGAATTCATTAATGATAGATATCTAATTAAAAATTGTGGCGAACGCTTTTTTATGACTATATGTAAAGAACTATGTGTAAAGAAGTCATCTTATCTAAAGAATCATATGGCTTTTGTTCTTGACGAGGAGATGATCTGCTGTTTTCAGGGACGTCCTGCCTGGTAAGAGTGTTTTTGTTTACCAGGCACCCTCGGGTACTCCAGATAGTATAACACTGATCTCTGGTGGAGGTTTGGCATTGTCATATCTGTCTGCTCTCTGGAGAAACTGAAGATGAAAGACCAGCTATACCAGCAGCCTTGCATGTAATGGAGGAATAGTGAAGAGAATAAACACAAAAGCCGGGGAGTTTTCCTGGTTGTCCTCCACATTGTACCTTATGGCCTTTTCTCATTGCCCAGAGATGAAAATGCATTTGGAACTCTCTAGCATTCTGCTTTGTCTCTTCTTGTAGCTGATTTTATTCTGTATTTTTGCTCTAACCAGTTACAATCTTAAATATAATCGCTTTAACTGAGTTCTGTGAATTTTAGTAAATTATCAAATCAGGCACTGGCTTTGAAAATCTTGAACTCTGCATTTGGTATCAGATTAAAGAGCAGTAAATAAAACTGTTTCGTAACATCAGAATATGTCACATCAAAATATTACTCTATTACTCCTTGACTGAAGGCAACAGGAGGTCATGGATTGCATTCTTACACCCCTTTTTTATCTCCAGTGCCAACACTAGTGCCCAGCCCAAGATCATTCAGTGACAATTCCTTGAATACACTGATTTATAAGTAAACACTATGAATACAGTTCTATTATTTACCAGAGAATATGGACATACTTCAAGAATCTCCTTGTATATCTTGAATAAGTTGTTCTGTTTCTTCTTTAATATTCCTGAGGGTAACTCATAACCAATTGTCTTATATTTTCAATATTATACTTTTATTTTATGGTTATTCAATCATCTGTTTTAGTGCTGGAGATTTAGCTCAGGGGCATAAGCGCTTGCCTAGCAAATGTGAGGTTGTGAGTTCGATCCCCAGTATCCAAAAATAAATAAATAAATAAAAATAAAAACATCAGTTTTAAACTCTATGTAAATAGGCAATGAAGTTAGCTTTATCTTTTTTGTCCAAATTTAAATTTCATTAATTTGGTTTTAACACTATTTTCTTAGACTTTTACTACCTCATACTTTCCAAGATTTTAATTTTCATCACTGTGTTTATTTTTCTACCTCACTACTTTTCTTTTTTAAAAAAGTTCAGACAAATTTATTGGGTATTTCAAGCACAGTCATGAAGTAGATTTGCTTTATAGGTTGTATCTTAGAATTTCTCACATTAATTCAATCCTTTAAAAGAAAATGTTCTTGCTCTTGGTAATGTTGTGTAGAGGCATTTTATTCTTACCAATGGCTTGGAAACATTCACTGGGAACTAATGCAATGAATTGTAATCTATGTTGATGGGATTCTTGAAAGTCTACTTTTATAGACGTATCAGATCCAGGTGATTGTACAGTTGATTTTTGTGTAGACTTTAAAGAGCAAATACTTTTTACATTCCAGTATTTCTGACATTAAAAAGATGGCATGGTACTAAAAAATATGTCCACAAAAATTTTGTTTTCTATCCCTGCTTTAAAAAAATGGATCCCAAATCCCCTGCAAGACAGATGCCATGTTGGGAGAGGCTTACTTGTACTGAACACAATATGGTGGAAGTGATAGTACTGACTTCCAAAAACTTGGTCATAAAATGCATTGTGGCTTGCTACACTCTTTATCTGAATTCTTTTTTTTTTTTTTTTTTGAGTGATAACAGCCACCATGTTTAGAAGATGTTTTGACTTTCACCTCATAAAAGATCCTGAGCCACCTACAGCCATTCTGTTCCTAACCCACAGATACTAAAAGAAGTAGTAAATGTTATATGTTGCAAATTTGTTACACAGGAATAGACAACTGAAGTGGAGAGTCCCACCTTTAAGTTTATGAGGCTACCATAATCTTAGTGAGAAAATCTGATGAAAGCAAACCAAAAGAGAAAAATCATAGAATAATTTTATGTGCAAACAAAAATGGAAAAAAATAATCCATGTAAAATAAAACCAGAATTTATCCAGCAATTAAGTTAACAATATAACATGAATAAATAAAATTTGGCACAATAATGCACATATGAATATTAGGAAATTCACCTACACATCAATTTAACAGAGTAAAGAAGCAAAAGTACACAATTCTATCATGTGACAAAAATGATTAAATTTCTTTCTTTTTTTTTTTTTTTTTTTTTTGTCTTTTTCTTTTTTATCGGTACCAGGGATCGGAAATGATTAAATTTCTTAATTCTTTTCTTACAAAAATTTAAAAACTGAATTGGAACAAAACATCAACAAAGTACTGAATACATACACACATACTAAATCACAAACTACAAAAGCTATTTTCATAGAAATAAGGAAGACAATGACAGCTAGCATTTTGAGTATGACATATATAGTGTAGTTAACATAATAAAAGCAACTAACAAATACTTATGAGAAAGAATAACATTTTCATTTGCTAATAATATCATCTGCAAAGAAAAATCAAGGCAATGCATTAAGTATGGATTGGAATTAACACAATTTGGTAAAGTTAGCAAGATAGAAAATCCAAGTAAATAAACTGTTACGTATTTTTGCAGAATTTCAACGTTCTTTAGTCTGATGCCAGTCAATAAAGAGCACAAGGTATAAGCTTATGAAAATTAATATCCCATTTATGGAACTAGTTATAAAAGTTGTTTAGATTCTTGTTTGGGTCTTTTCTGAAGTCTGATCTTTGTATTTTTTCAGTCCATCTACACATCTTTCATGTTTACACAGACACTAGGGTTATTTAAGTCTGATTTGCCTTTTATTCCTCATTTCTATTGTCATTTGATCACTTTTTCTATTTTTAAAAAATTTATTAGTGTATGTTTTCAGTACATGATTATGTTCCTCATGAGAAGTTGGTACATGAATTAGACATTTTAATTCTATTTTGTTGCCTTCACCTCCAGATGCCTTCCCATCTGCATTTTTCCTTGCCTCCTATCCGTTTTCCTATTATCTCATTTTGCTCTTTATATTTTGAACTTTTCATGTAAGAGAAACCACACAATGTTTACGTTTGTCTCATTTATTTCACTTAATAGTCTTGAGAAACATCCATTTTCTTACAAAGTTTATTTCTTCTGGCAGAGTAGTACTCCACTGTGTATTAATACATTTTCTTTATTCATATATTGCCAGACATGTAGGCCACCACCAAGATTTGGCAACTGTGAATTGTGCTGCTATAAACATGTGTATGCACGCACCACTGTAATATGATACATGCTCTTTTAGGGAAGATACCAAGGATGGAAATAGCTGGGTTGCATGACATTTTAGTTTTTTTGAGGACTATGTATACTGAATTTCATGATTGTATTAGTTTATTTTCTCACCAAGGAAAAACATTTTTCCTTTCCAGAGGCACCAGCATTTGCTGATTTCTTAGACGTCACTTTGCAGTAAAAAGAATCTCAATGTTGTTTCTAGTGGTATTTCTCTAAATTGCTCTTTCAGGTCATAATTCCTTGTTTCATGGTGTTTGTGTCGGTTCTATTTTTTTTTAATTCTCTGTGGGTGTTTTGTGAGAACTTTTAAACTGAAGGACACAAAAATACCATAAACTACCTTTCTCAGAAGGGTACAGTAACATAAAACTTGTAAATGTCGAAGAGTGTTTACCTTTCCCTTTCTCTCCAGGCTTTTTGGATAGAAAATACCGGCTTCTTGCTCCATTGCCTATCAGAGGCTCTCCTGGAAAAAGGTTTAGCCGCAAAGTAAGCAATAGTTTTTCGTATTTCGGTGAAATCTCACATTATCTTTAGCCACTTTTTAATATCACACACGTTACAAAGAGCTGCAAATTCAGACTGTCACTTGCAGGTCATTTGGTAATTTAGTTTTAGGATAGTTACACAGAATGTACACGGGATTACAGGATAGGAAGTAGGCAATCTCTGAGAGCTATTTCCTGTATTTTACAAATGTTTTCTATGGGAAATAAAACGTTAAGACCAAAAACTAAGTTTTCAGACAACATGAAAAAATTTCTTGGGGTTGGGGATTTAGCTCAGCGGCATAAGCGCCTGCCTTGCAAGCAGGCAGTCGTGAGTTCGATCCCTGGTACCGATAAAAACGAAAAGACAAAAAAAAAAAAAAAATTTCCTGGAGTAAAATAATTGTAAATCACGCACAGCTCTTAAAAGAGCCTTTGGGGTTAGGTGTAAACACAGCTTACTTGCCAAATTTACTTGGAGCTGATGTATTTGGTGACGGCCTTAGTGTCTTCAGTCATGGCGTTCTTGGTCAGCTCCTGGGGCAGCAGTTGTCTGGATCTCCCGCGACGATACGCTCGAAGACGTCGTTTACGAAGCTCACGATGCCCACGGCCTTGGATGAGATGCCCTGGTCGGTGTTCACTTGCTCGAGCATCTTGTATGCATACACAGAGTGGCTCTCACTGCGGCCGCGCTTGCGCTTCTTGCCGTCCTTCTTCCGCTCCTTGGTACCTGCCTTTTTCGGGCCAGGTCTGAATATGTGGGTTCAAGCGTTTCAGAGATTGAAACATATCGCAAGAGTAGAGGAATAACCATCCCATAGCAGCTAAACCACATTCCTTTATAGATGTGGTATTTAAATGAGGCTAGTGAGATTTCGCCTATGATTGGATTAATTTTAGTGTGTCGTCAAAAGTACGAAAGTAAACGACACTGACTCGTCTACTTTCTTCATTGGCTACTTTGTTGTTTCACTTTGGTCCAATCAGAAAGCTCTAACTAGACTCCCTAAAGCTACTATAAATAGCCCTTCTCAAGCACTGCAGCTTTAGTCCTCATGGAGCGCGAGATTGTTGGGTGGTTGCATACTTAATGCTTGTAACTAACTAGTGTGAAAAATCTAATCATAAGCGAGTTTTGTGAAAGTAAGGCGAAGCGCTGCTTTTAGGCCTTACACTAGTTATGTAAAGCCTCACTAGGAGCTATACTCGATTCCATTGTCTTTTAAAAATTTGTAATCAGTAGTATTGCAAGGCCACGCCTCCAAGCTAAAGAGGACTTCGCCTTACCCAAGTTAATTTTAAACACAATTGTTTCCTATAGTTAAAGTGGAAATCAACTCATCGGACCAATGAAGTTCAGAACGGGTGCCTACTTCGCAGCTATGCAGACCCCAAACCTGACTGACTAATCCGTTCTTTCCTGGCTGCTTGTAATTGTCAAGCCGTTTGTAATTATGTGAGCACGGCAGCAGATTATCCATTACTCTTCTGCTGCCACCCTCTGCACAGCACACGCTAGGAACCACGCCCCCAAGATGTGCAACAGCTCTTTTCTTGAAAAGTGTGGGTGGCTCTGAAAAGAGCCTTTGGGTTGGGTGGAACTAGCAGCTAGGCCTAAAGAACTTATTTCTTCTTGGCTGCCGCCTTCTTGGGCTTGGCAGCCTTTGGCTTGGCGGTCTTGGGCTTTGCCGCCTTGGGCTTCACTGCTTTGGCCTTCGCTGGGCTCTTGGGCGCCTTCTTGGGCTTTGCAGCTTTTGCTTTCTTGGGGCTCTTTGCCTTCTTGGCCCCAGCAGCTGCGGCGGGCTTCTTTGCCTTCTTTGGGGTCTTCTTGGCGCTCTTCTTGGGGGTAGCCGTGCCCGCAGCTTTCTTGGGCTTCTTGGTGGCCCCCGCGGGTTTCTTGGCTTTGGCCGCGCCTGCCTTCTTCGTCTTGGGCTTGGCCTCCCCGGAAGCTGCCTTCTTGTTGAGCTTGAAAGAGCCAGACGCGCCGGTGCCCTTGGTCTGCACCAAGGTACCCTTGCTCACCAGGCTTTTCAGCCCCAGTTTGATGCGGCTGTTGTTTTTCTCTACATCGTAGCCAGCAGCCGCAAGCGCCTTCTTCAGCGCAGCCAAAGACACCCCGCTCCGCTCCTTGGAGGCGGCCACAGCTTTGGTGATGAGCTCGGACACCGGGGGCCCGGCTGCCTTGCGCCTTGCAGCACCTGCTGATTTGCGCGCCTTCTTCTTCACGGGTGTCTTTTCGGCTGGAGCCGGAGCGGCGGGTGCAGCGGGCGCAGTCTCGGACATGGTGAAGACGGGGTAGGCAAAGTACTCGAGCCGGAAGCAGAGGCACTGGCCGATACTCGACCGCGGCGCTGCGCCCGCCCGCTTATATAGGGCGGAGCTGCGCGGTGATTGGTGCGCTGTCCAGCCCGCCTCGCTGGCAGCCGCAGAGTGTCCTCTCTGATCCCGAGTTGTGTTTGTTACACCTCAAAAAAAGCCAAAAATATCAAAATTCTCTACATTGAATTGCCTGATTTTTCTCAGATAATGGTCCCTGAAGACTCAGGCTTCATACAGACCTGAAATAAGGAGGAAAGCGCTGAACCTTTTGCCAAAAATTAGTAATATTTCCTACAGTGCTCAGCAAATTTCAACTCAGAGAAACAAAACTTTCTATTTTCTTCGTAAATTATAAACTGATCTTTAACTGTAGAGTTTTCTGACCTCTTAAATATGATTCTCCAAGTGGTTAGCTTCTAATATATCCAAAAAATATGGCACTGGCACTAAAATTTTTATTACAAATCTGCACTTAAGTGAGGGAAGTAACACAAACTCCTCAGAGAGTCCTGCCTATTGAGCCGAGGGCATTTGAGTTCATCAAACTGGTTTAGTTTAATGCCACACAAATTATTGCCCATTTGAGGTTAAATTTTGGACCCCAGGGATATCAGTCTAAGCAACCATGGTTTTATTTCCTTCTGCAGCACCTGATTTTTAAAATAATTCTTTAGGAAAATTCTTTTCCTTTTTGCTCCCAAGGGTTGGGGGCGGGGCTGTTGCTTCTCTTTCTTCTGGACTACTGTTCATGGGTTGAGGTACCTTGAATTTAAGGTATTTGGGAAGTAAGAGAAGTCCAAAACATATTCAGGATACTGAGATGAAAAAGGATTAATTTTCAAATAACACACATATGATGTCCATAAAGTCGCTGGAAGCAGAGGTGCACTTTACTTTGAAGTGTTTGTCAATTTGTGTTTCTCAGGTTCTTTGGCATATGTTTCTGGATGAAATTGTAATATACTAATTAGAACTGGAACCCAAGCCTTGTTAATGAGAGAAAAATAAATGAGAAGTGTGGATTGGAATATTACTAATCCCATTGTTAAATAAACTCAGACCTTGTTATTACGGAATAGCTGATGACTGACCGGTCTACCCACCATATACGGTTTCAGGCTTCATGAAGCATATAGCTTAATGCTTCTCAGAGGTCCTTCAAAAAGAAAATAAGTAACATGCAGGGATTGAATGACAAGCTAAAATTTCCATCTCAGAAGCAGCTTTGAGAAGTTATACAAGTGAAGTCGTTGTCTTTTGCAAAGGCTTTTAGATAGTTGTGCAGTCAAGGAAAGTGTAAATTGGCAGTGAAAGCCTAACAAAAGGAACTATTTCTGGGAATGTCTTCATTTTAAAAACTGCAATCCACACTAAAAGACAAAATATAATAGTGCCCAGTGCTATAAGATGATATAAATCTATTTTATGGATAAGATTATTTGTAAAGTGTCATTGGATATCATTTAAAGTTTTAGTTCTCCAAATCTTTTTGATACACATGGATTTGACTAATGAAATAGAAAGCAGAACTTTGGTGATACATCCATGAAATATTTTTAAAATACTGTAGTGCTGTTTAAATTAATGCTACACTTGGGGTAAAATGATGTTCTCTATCAATATTTCTTAAGCCTTAGTTTGTAGATATTTTCAGGGGTTTTTTTGTGGGGGTGCTGGCATTTAAACCTTATAAAGATGCTTCTTTGAACCTAAAAAGCTTCTTCGCCCATTTTTAAATTTTCAGATAGGATCTCACTAAATTAATTTGCTCGGGGTGGAATAAAACTTGCTATCCTCCTATTTCAGCCTCCCAGAGTGCTGGAATTACAGGTATCTGCTGTCATGTTCAGCTAATACATTCAGTTTGATTAGTGCATGGTCATGCAAAATAAATATGCCTTTTACCATTTGTTAAACTAGAAAGAAAATGGCAAAAACTCAAGAGCAGACTTTTGATTACATAAAGCTGAGCTGACATTCAATGTTAATGAAAACTAATAATGTAAATGGAACAGTCTACAAGAAATTGAAATTTGCTCACATGCATTTCTTTAATCTATGTATTTCTTGCTTCTAGTTCATAGGGACTTAAACTATCTAAATTCTTTGATTTTTCAACTTATCTCTATGTGTCCTTTATGGTACAGTATATTTTCTGATGAATAAAACTGTTTTTTGCTTTATTTTGATTTTTGAAATAGGGTCTCATAGTTCAGGCTAAACTGAGCTTTCTACATAGCCCATTCTGAATTTGCACTACCAGTGAGCCTCCTGATTCAGCCTTTACAATGCTGGGATTACAGAGATGTAATACCATGCCTGGTTAATGAATAAACCTGACAAAGAAAATCATTGACATTTGCCTCACTATATTCATTTGACGCTGTAATATGATAAAATAGACAAAATACCAAAAGTCTTCCCTTTCTCATTGACCTGCCTGTTGGGTGGGCTGTATCAGAACCATGTAACAGATGAATCTTTATCTGTACAATTTAAATATGAATTCAAAGACATTTCTCCAACGAATCCAATCTGATAAATCTCCAATGTGTCCTCAGAATCTGAATATTTAGCATGTTTCCCTGCTAGTCTTATGGCCAGTCAAATCTGAGAAGAATTGTTCTTACTGCAGTTCATTGGCAGGGCAAAAGCATTTCTTGTGTTGTTAGAATTTCCCCTCAATTTCCTGGTCTGAATTTCCTGGTCATCCATGATGAATGTGACTATGCATTGGGAGGATGCAGAGCAATCCAATCCTGACTTCGTTAGATTCACCCATGATCAGCCACCATGGTGAACTCAACAAGGAGAAAGAAGAGCAAAACTGAACATTCTGTGTTTTATTATTTTCTAACTCCACAGGGTTGACTGAACCTTGCCAATGATCTACTCGAATCTCTTAGCACAGCATCTCCTTACGTAACTTCTCTTGCTTAATAATTACTGCTTCTGTTTCTTCAGTAATGTATTGTGGGTTTACCTGGACATTCTTAGTCAGTATACAAATCTTCTGCTACGTAGAGTGTCATCATTTTAAATGGTTGAAAATCGACCTGCAAAGGTTAAGGAAATTTCCTGAGAGAGGTACATCCCTGATTTCTCTCACAATACTCGGAATGCCAAGTGTATGCTCTTGTTAACCAGTGCTTTTCGGGCTGAAGGTCTTTAACTAGCATTAAAAATCATGAAATTAATGTAGTAGTGTAAAGCCAAAAATTTCTTTTTTAGTGAATTATAATAGAATATAAAATAACAGAGTACAACACATACAGTTTATCAAATATACAAACTTTTTTCTCAGACCCTGCATTGCTTACTATGCAATTTTCTTTATCCAGAAACTATGCATTTTTTAAACTTTTGTATTAATAAAATATTGTCAAGTGTGCTATTCTTTAATGAGTTAAAAAAGGCTTTTCCTAGTTCTGCTAATTTTAAAGGTCTTACAAGACCAGAGTGATTTAGATATTAATGACTGTGCTAAAAGGAAAAATGTGATTTGTAGGAAAGTTGAACAGAAAGGAAGCTTTTTCTTGGTTACTCTTACTCCACAGTTCTGTGCCTGTACTTAATTCTGGACTTTATCATCTTCTTATATTATCTTGGCTATTTTACTTATTAAAAACAGAGTTTGAGGTAGGTGTGTTTTGCTTCAGATTAGGAGCTTATTTATTATCTGTGATACAGTTTCCTTTTTTATTTATGCCAACATCTAAAACCGCAGGTTGCATATTCCAGGCAATTCATTGCAGGAATGTTTGGAATTGTAAAATATTGAAAACAACTTTAACGTGGATTCAAAAGAGTGATTAAATAAATTAAGGCATGTTCATTTAGTGGCATAATATGCAGCTACAAAAATAACTGAGGCCCTAGTGTGAGGGAACTTGCTTGTCATCTCAGCTAAAAGAGAGGTTGAAGCAGCAGGATTTAAGGTTTGATGCTGGACAATTAAGCCAGACCTTGTCTCAAAATGAAAGAAGAGGAGAGAAAGGAGGAGGAGCAAGAAGATGACTAAATATTTATGGACTCACAGAGAATGAATTCTAAGAATTATATGTAAGTAATTAAGCAAAGCATGAAAGAATATTTTCCTTTGTATGGAACAAAAGAAAAATAAAAAATCAATTTCCTACTCATTTGTGCAAGAGAAAAACAGAAAAGGAAGACCAAAAATGAAGACTACTTATCTAAAGGAGGAGGAAAACAAAGGAAAAAGTGGAAAGTAGATGTGATATGTAGAGTAGCGGGAATGAGAAGAGAGTGGATTTTATTTATTTTTAGTAAACTTTTACATAGCAATAACTTACAACTATAGCAATGTTTTATATACTAGTAAAATAAATAATTAAATAACCTTATAAGAATGGCAAAATTAAAAATTGAATACAAGGTTAGTGAATCAGCTATATTAAAATAACGCAACACTAAAGGGATTAAATAACTTCAAAATTAAATAACTGGTAAACAATATTGATTGGATACTAAAAAACTAAAGACAACAAAGATATATATACATATACACACTGTAATCTAATAAGATTTCTTCAGGTATGCATATGGATCGGCAATTGTACTTGAATAAATACATTACAAATGAGCAAGTGTGTATGTTATCTGTGTTGCAGATAATGAGATCCAATTGCCATGCTCATTGGTAGAGAAAAAGTATTGGATAAAGTGACTCTCATGCTCCTAGATAAGAATCAGGTGTATTAATATATATATATATATATATATATTGTGTATAGTCTGCATGTGTATATGCAAAGGTTAGTATACAAACATGTGTCCCTCGTTCTGTCAGCTGAGAAAGTTTAAAGAGGTCAGCACCCCAATACCAGTTAGCATGCTGTCTTACAATCCTTGCTTTCTAAGCACCATTTCCCAACTAAAAGAACCAACCGTCTTTACAGAACGGGTTGATTCCAAGGCTGAGGTAGGAAACAAATATATAGGGAAGGCTTGGGATATCTTGTATTAGAAAATAATTAGAAAATGTGGTTTAAAAAAA